AATCTCCAGAGGAAATGGTGCAGAAAGCTGTGGGTAAACTACTGTCTTGGGTGTCGGCAACGGAGGAGTTTAAAAATTAGAATTTGAGATTGTTGTTTAGTTCTCAGACTTGGATGCATTTGTAATCTGAGGTGGCTCTAGGCAGCCTTTACTGGCCTAGGTTCCTTTGTACTGTTATTTGATTTAATAAAATACCTTACCTCTTACAAAAAAAAAAAATATTAAGCAGAGAACTACAAAAAGAACCGTCAACTTTAAACTTAGTCGATGACCAAGAACAGAGCTTCCCCACGATCTTCTGCCACACTTCATCTTCTTGACAGCTTTTGATTTGAAATATCCTTGAATTTCTTTCTTGCCAGATCACCCACAGCACTGCACCTGGAATCAGATGCCATAAACATTTCCCCATTTTGCTTAGGCCTTGTAAATTCCAGCTGTTGACAAGTAGCCAAAGATTTTGGGCAGCAACTTTTGATTGCAAAAATTCTGAGAATCCTCACCCAGATTTTGAGTGAAGCCACAGTGAAGTAACAGGTGACCAACAGACTCCTCATCATTGTTGCACAAGACACACCTTCTAGAGTTAATCACCACACCCCTATTAGCCAGATTGTCTCTTGTGGGAATCTTATTTAAATAAGCAGTCCAGAAGAAAAAAAGATACCTTCGATGGGCTGTGATTCCTCCTGGACCAGTTTGGTATAGAAAGATTTCACTGAGAATTGACCTTTGCTCTCTGCTAACCAGACCCTTTTGTCTGCTGCATTGACATCAATTTGGTTGTTGTACAACCTTTGAAGAAGCCTACCTGCTCAATCTCCCAATCATTCAAAGCCCTTCTAAAAGTAGGATTCCAGATAATCATCCAATTTTGCTCTTTCACTTAAACCTTGGAGCCACCAGTCTTTTGAAAATTTCAGTACTCCACTACTGGTTCCGAGCAGCAACTGCAGACTGACAACAATCCCAAGATCTTGGACCATACCTCCACAGTGAAGTCACAATGTAGAATTAAGTGGGTTACAGATTCTGCATGGTTATCACACAACACACAGTTAGGGGAGTCCACCATCNCATGGTTATCACACAACACACAGTTAGGGGAGTCCACCATCGTACCTTTCCTCAATAGGTTATCTCTTGTGAATATTCTATCAAAATATGTGGTCCACAAAACAAAAAAAAAGAAACCCACCTTTGAAGGAGCATCCTTGCACCAAATTATCTTGACAGGGACACATATTGGTTCTCTGATCTTGCTAAAAATTTTAGAAAGATTTCACTGAAAATCTGCCTGAGTTTTCCCATCCCCATTACTAGATGTATATGGCACTCGAAGTTATCTGTGAGTTGTAGCTGAGGCTACCAAAAGCTGTATTTTTAATTTTTCACTTTTAATGAATTGTTGCTTATTGAAAAAAATTAACTGTGAGTTATTTTAACCTCAACTCAAAATTGGATGKAAAATTATCTCAGGTCTGCCATTCAACTTGTGACTTAAATTTAAGGTATCAGGCCAGCTTCCACTGGGCCATTGGCCTCGCTTGTGTCCTCTGCTTCCTTGGTTGAATCTCCCTTGATAGCTAGAGATGAGGATTGAGTCTCTTGTCCATTTGAGGGCCTAGTAAGAAGGTCTAGTAAGGCCACTGCCACCATGGCTGGCCGGGGGTTCAAGAACTTCCATCCTTTTTCCATTTGATTGATAGTGTGTTAGTTTGTGGCTGTATTTGAGTCCTTCAAATTTTTATCTGTTTTGGTTGCTATTGGTTTGGTTAATTTCACTAAGCTTAGAAATCTGTGTTTAACATTGTGTTAACTATCCAAATTAGTTGGAGTATCTTTATGAATTCTCTCTGGTTTTTATTCAGTTTACATATTACAACAATTAAGAATTATTTTGTCAGTTTTGAGTTGGATCTGGAGTCTATAAATATTGCCCTTGTATTTGGATTTTTTTTTTAGTTTGAATAAGTAATATTATAGTAAATTTTGTTGTGGGAGATAACTATAAAAAATGAAATTGTTGTGGGAAATTTTTAGGGGAAACTGGAGGGAGATAACAAATAGCAGTTCTGAGTAGGGTAGAACACATTTAGATTGGACACCACCTCCAGAAGAGTGCTTAAAACTGAATTTTGATGGAAGCAGTCAAGGAAATCCAGGCCGGTCTGGTGTAGGTGGGGTGGTGAGGAACAAGGATGGGAACATCTTGGCACTTTTCTCGGGACCACTGGGGGAAGGAGATTCTGCTAGTGCAGAACTGCTTGCTTCATTACAAGGAATTCAGATTGCTCCCCAGCTTAGCCTAGCAAATTTGATAATAAGAGATTCCAAGGTGGTGGTGGGATGGGTACAAAACCCGGATTCTGTTCCTTGGTACTAAAGAGATGAAATTAAAAAGTTTAAATGGTATATGAGGGACATGAGTGTAAGAGTACACTGGGTCAGAAGATCAGCAAATTCTTTGGCTGATTGTCTTGCTAAACAAGGGACAAACAGGGATACTTTATATTGGGCTTAGCTGTAATTTGCTTTTAATCTGTTTCTTTTGTTCTAAATTTGGGGGAGGTTGCAACTCGTGCCTCTCAAAGGGATTCTTGTACTGATTTAAGCTCTTAATATCAATAAAGTATTAATCATTTATCAAAAAAAAAAGTTCTCTCTCTCTCCCTCTCAATTATTTGTTGTCACTTCTGTATAGTGACTATTGTTCTTTCTTTTCTTCACTTTATTCTGATTTCTTATCGTGAAATCTCTCTTCATCATTGCAATGTCAACTGAAGTGAAGGTTTTTATTAATATAGAAACAAATAATACAAATGGCAACTGAAATATAAAAAATGACAACTGAAGTGAAGGTTTTTATTAATATAGAAACAAGTTAAAAGTAATGTACAAGATGGATTACCCTACCCCTCCAACTGTTTGCAAACCTGCAAGGGCTACTGGATCATCGATAAATTGGTCCAACAACTAGTAAGTAGTAAAGTAAACAAATAAAATATATGCTTATTAAGTCAACATTAATAGTAACCAAATAGTAAAGTACACAAATAATGTTAAATGGTAGGTTGCATATCTTGTCCTCTCACGGCTTTTTTTTTTTGAGAAAAGGTTAATCAGATTTCATTAAAAACAGCAGAAAGTACATGAGCAGATGTACTGCACAGAAGAAAGAAAACTCAAACAGCAAAAAAGAAAAATTACAAGGGGAGAAGCTTGTTGCTGTACAGATTTTCTAGTCTTGCTCCAATTTTAGCTAATTCATCTGTAATATGATTCAACTCCCTCGGTATCCACAGCAGGTTTGCGTTTATATTTTCCAAGGAGTCTCTTGCGTCGGCTAGATAATGACTCAACCTCCATGGGCCCCCCTCCTTGTCCTTCAACCATTTGATAGTATCAGCAGAATCTCCTACAATGGATAAGTTCTGAATGCCCAATCTTTTTATTATTCTGATTCCAGTGAGAGCAGCCAGAAATTCAGCCTTTGTTGAATCAGCATTACCTATTGGGCCACTAAAAACCCAGCAGATATTACCCAGATTATCCCTCAAAATACCCCCTATCCCAGCTACACCGGGATTGCTTGCAGCACTTCCATCAAAGTTTAAAGTCATCCATCCTTCATTATGTGATATCTGTAGTCTCTAGATTGGTTGAGGGTAGGTTGGAAGAAACAAGATCGTTTGGATATTTCTGTTAAGGTCATTGAGAGAGTCCTTGGAACAGCTCGGAATTAACAGTCCAGAAATTACAATGAAAGGAGATATCTGAGATTAGTTCTTCAAGAGATCTGATTTTGTTGTCAAATAAGCGGCTGTTTCTTTACTCCGAAATTCCCCACAATACTGCATGTAACACAATTTGCCAGTACACTTTACCTCTTCTGCTCAAGCCTGAACCATGCTACTGATGGAGAAACTCCTGAATATGCTTTGGAAAGACCCAACTGTATCCAATCAGGTTTAAGAAATGACACCAAATCTTTTGAGAGAAATTGCAATAAATAAATAGGTGATCCGCTGATTCACCTTCTCTTAGGCAAAGCGCACAGGCATGAGGAGAAATATATGATCTTCCCAGATTTTTTTTCCCTAAAGAAGGTCACAAGTATCTATTCTCTGTAGGCATGCTTCCCAAACAAAGAAGCAAACTCTTAGTGGAATATGACTGCTCTAGATCTTCTTGAAAGGGAATGAGGAACTCTGTTCACCTGCAGTTAGAGCCTTGAACATAGATTTGGAAGAGAAATCACCATTTGGGTTGAGGGTTCATACTCGGGTGTCAATGGAATGAGGGGAAGTGTAGACTTCTTTAATGGTATGAAAGAGGTTCAAGAGGTCTGAAATCTCGGTGTCCCTTAGGGGTCTTCTCACGTTCAGGGTCAAGTTGTTATCGGCAGGTATATCTGGGATGCAAGAGGAGACAGTTGATTCTTGGTCTAAGGAAAGGTAGAAGATTCTAGGGAAGGATTCTGCAAGAGTGGTGCTCCCCCACTAGAGATCTTTCCAGAATTTTATTTAATTACCATTTCCTACTTAACTACAATAAAGTAATGACCTGGGTGGGTTGTTGAAAATTGTTTGGGTTGTTAAAACTCAGATGGTTTTCAATGGTTCTACTGAGTTGAGTGTGAGTCATCTGGTGAAAAACTGGAAAGACCATTGGTTTCTTTTTTGAATGGTCTAATTATCCAGTCTGTTTGGAGTCTGACAACATTGCCTACAAGGATACTCTTCTAAACGGTTACAGCCTCAACTATTATGGATCTTAAGGTGAAATTTGCAAACAAAAATGTGGACTTTATATGGACTTACACTAATTTGAAGAGTCCTAACTTCAACATATGTGACGACTTTGAGAATATATAGCAAATCTTGAAATAGACTTTCTAAATATAGATTTCTCAAGCTCTTATGGTATTTTGATGAATTTCTAATAATAAAATAAATTCCAAGATCATAGTTTTCAAGGCGCCAAGGCGAGGCTAGGTGACATGGGGGCGCATTGTCGCCTAGTCGCCTAGGCGATGGATTTTTTTAAGTAAAAATCACATATCCTAGGGTAGTTCCCTAGGTTCCATAACCATCTTTCTTTAATAACTATCCATAATTTTCATAAGAAAATTATAAACATCATGTTTAAGTCTAGAAAATCAACATATTTATGAGAAGAAAAAGAAGAAAGGAAAGAAAATTCAAAAAATGTAGGGGCTGAACCCCTATTTTTGTTACAAAAGATGAATATTTTTTCTTTAATAATCTCTATTTTATAATTATAATCTAAAAAAACATAACAATATAAAAGTATTTTATTATACAGTATGCAAAACTGCTTGGCGACTGGGCGAGGCGAGCCTCCAAGGGCGCCTTGTCGCCTAGGTGCCCACCTAGGCATCGCCTTGACAACTATGTCCAAGATAGCTTACTAGAAAAACAAATCTAAAAACCAAARAACTGATAAAAAAGGAATTCAATATTCATACATACATACATATTCCATTTATCAAAAAAGAAATGTGAAAATCCAGTAACCAAATTGAGATTCTTGTCTAGGCTCGTACATTGGTTTTTTACCTAATTTTCTGAAACCATGTTCACTTTACTGTTATTTTATATTTTTAGTCAGCTTGGATATGCACACAAAAGCTTTTTAATGTCTAATAATTATGAAGCTTGGGCATGTTTGGATACATAGAAAACTAATGCGGTAATGCCAAAAAATTCAGTTTGATTTAACAAATTTATCTTTCCTCATCTTTTTTCTTCACACCTCTTGGATTGGTGATTAGTCCTTGATTTGCTCCTGAGGATTGTTTCAGCTTATGTACCATATATTGATGAACCATTTGTTGGTACTTCTGCACAAAGTATGCACTTGTCATTGCTGTTTAATGTTGATGATAATGGATTGCATTACCTTATTATTGGCTTTTGTAGGTTATGCGGTTGCTCCATCTATGCCATCAGTATTAGGCCCATCTGGCACACCTTTGCCCATGCCAGTAAATGGATTGCCAAGGCCTCCGACAATTAATGCTCCAACAACTGTTCCTGGGGGCACAGCAGCTCCAGCTCCAACTTCTAATGGTGCACCTTCTATGGTTACACCGGCAATATATCAAGCAAACCCAACCACTGCAACAAGTGGAGGTTTTGACAGCTTTAATACCACTGCTGCTTCAGGTCTACAAAGGCCAAGTCCAAGCGGAACTACTGCTCCTTCAACTACCTCTACTGCTTCACAAGATGGTTTTACTTATGGTCAAAATGCTGAGGCCAATCATTAGTATGGTCAACAGGTATATCTTTTGAATCCCCATCCCTTCCATCTGCTTCCTCCACTTTTTAGGTAGATGTTTTTTCAATGTTTTTGTTGTACATTTAGAGGGATTAGAATATAAATTGCATTGCTTCAAGCTATAATATAAAACACAAAAGATTTCTCATAACCCTCTCTTGATAAAACTTCATTCTTGTAAATTTGGTTTGAATTGCATTACTTTAAGCTAAAACAAAGTGAAACATGAAAGATACACCATTGATTTTTGTCCTTTTGATCAATAATGAGAGGGTATTATTTGGATGATGATGATGATGATGATGAATGAGAGGGAATACCCAAATAAAGGGGATCCTGTTACATGTCTTAGAGACACGACCAGAAAACAAAGCAAGAAGTGAACACTATTAGCTTGGTGATGAAGATCCCAATGCAACAAAGACCTTCTGTCCCTCCCATTTGTTTTTTGATCAATAACACACTTCATTAAATTCATTAAAACTTTCAATGATAATTACAAAGAGGAAGACAAACTTTCTTATCTTCCAGCTATAACTTGAGCCCCAAGAGAAGGAAAAAGAAAAAGAGAAAGAGAAGGAGAAATAGAAAAAATAATTACAACTGTGCCGAGAACATTGACTCCCTCTCCACCCCTTGTTTAGTTAACCCATCAGCAAAAGAATTAGCTGATCTTTTTACCCAACTGATTTTAACCTCCATTTCTCGAGCCAGCCATCTAAATTTCCTCCTTTCTACCTTCAATTTACTTCCTTTCTACCTTCAAGATCCCCACTAGTGTGGCTTTTAAACTGGAGAAATTAATGAGGGATTTTTTATGGGAACCGGGGGATACAAAGAAAGATCACTTGGTGAAGTGGGAGGTGGTCTCTAGAAGTAGAGATAGTGGAGGGTTGGGTATAGGAAACATAAAGCTAAGGAATACAGCCTTGTTGGGAAAGTGGTTATGGAGATTACCTCTGGAACAGGACAACCTGTGGCACAAAGTGATAGTGAATATACACGGGGTGGCAGAAAACAGGTGGGATACTGGTCTTGACCCTAGGGCATCTCGGTCATCTCCTTGGAAAGCTATCCATGGCGTTTTACTCTCATTTCTTCCATTTATCAGACTTGATGCTTGTGCAGGGAATAAAGTTTGATTCTGGGAAGATGTCTGGTTTGGGGATGTCTTCCTCAAAGATAGATTCCCGCCCATCTACTCTCCTTCGTTGAATAAAGAAAAAACCATTTCCTGTGTCTATCTGAATGGTTACTCTTGGGATTTGGGTCTGAGGAGGGGGTTGAGGGAGTCCGAAATGGGTATGGTTGATGATCTGATTGCCCTTCTTAATACTCTGTTCCTTGATCAGTCTTGCTTGGATAGTAGAATTTGGTCAGCCTCTCCTTCTAGGTTTTTCACTAGTGCTTCTTTTTACAATGCTCTTCTCCATTCATCTAACTTGGCAGGAACCTTCCCAACAAAGGAGGTTTGGTGTAACCTTGTACCCCCAAAAATAAGGGCCTTTTGCTGGGAGGTAGTACTCCAGAAAATCAACACCTTAGATATGCTGCAAAAAAGAAGACCAAACTATTGCCTTTCACCCCACGTGTGTAGCCTCTGCTTGGCTTGTGGCGAGACCATTACACACTTATTTATATCCTGTCCTTTTGTAGCCTTTGTTTGGATTTGGTTTTCCTCTCTCTTTGGATGCAGGTGGACCCCTCCTTCGGATGTAGTAAGACTCTTTGATCCGAATTCCTTTAGACCTCCAAAGAAGAAGGGGAGAGCAATGTAGAGAGAAACAAGAGCAGCTGTTTTGTGGTCAATCTGGGAAGAAAGAAACAATGGGATCTTCCAGGGTTCTGAAAGATCTAAGGAGCAAATCATTGACTGCATATCTACCAAGGTCATTCATTGCCTTAAAGCATCCCCTTTATTTAAAGATTATTCTGCTGATGATTTGTTTAGAGGATGGTACACTGTGGCAAACTCTTCCTCATTGAGGTCTGTGTTAAAGGAGCAATGGATCCCTCCTGCACATCAATG